GAAATTTCATATGATATGTTGTGAAAAAGCAAGGGAGCGTGTAAATTATTTAATGCTGATTTTGAAATGCGTTTGTCGTTCGTTCTTTTAGAAATGTCATATGATATGTTACATCAAGCTAGATTTACTGAGGGGTTGTTTGTTTACTGTTGAATGGAACCATTCAGCGCTGAATGTTGAACTGTTCAACATTCAGCGTGTTTGATTCTCACCTCTGAATGAAGACTATGCTGATGAAACAACAAAACACTGATGAATAATTCAGCATTAAAGTACATTTTGAATCATTAAGCACCTGGTATTTCACCATAATACCTATTTTTTCACATGTTATCTTATTAAACAATCATATCTTATAATATAATAAATCATTATGAATGTAAAAATGAAAATATTTATAATTCAAATTATACATTCAGAACCATTATCAAACAACATGTCACATTCAGAGTCAATTCATACAGAGCCTTTGAATCATACAGAGTCTTTGAACCATTCAACGCTTAATCATTTTATTTTATCAAACAACCCCTAAATCATTTTATTTGCGACTACTTTTAAACATGTTTTCCATTGAAAAAAACCAACATATTTCCTAAATCTTTTCATTTGCTCGTCCTTTTTGGTGTTGTTCATTGTTCGATGTTATGTTTTATTAAATTAATCTGGGATAAGTAATAGATAATATATGTTTAAAGGTAATTCTCGTTATTTGATGTTATGTTTTAATTATATTTTTATGTACTTATATTGCGTATTAAGTTAAAAAAAATTAATCAGTAAATGAATATAAGTTGAGTGATCAATTATTTCTATCATATCATAAATTCCGTTTAATCCTTAAGGGTGCGTTTGGTTCACGGAATGTAAGATTACCAGTGGAAATAATAGATTACTAGAGAATAGGATTACTGGGAATGATGTATTTTGTGTTTGGTTGGTTTAGCAGGAATGTAAGATTATCGTGTTTGGTTAAAGGAATAAAAGATTATTGGAATGTATATTTGACCAAATTGTCCTTATTATATATTTGTATAGTATTACAAATTGTAAAATATTTATATATTTTCTTTAAAAAATTAAATTCATAATATTTATATAATTTATTTTACAAAATTAAAAATATAAAAAAGGTTTAATGAAAGGATAATTTTTTTTAACCCCTAAACTTCATATAAAATTTTAATTATAGATTTTTTTTTGTAAATCTAAAATAATTTAAGGATAAATTTGTAATTTAACCTTCGTAGAATTTTTATTATTCAATGACAGAAGAATGATATTTTTGAAATAAAAATAAAAATTTAAGGGCATTTTAGTCCAAAACGCCGGTAATGTTACAATACCTAAAGGAAGGGAGGTAATGACATTCCTGGTAATATACCCCAAAAAATCTACTATTGGTAATAAAACATTACCGGGAATGAGATTTCCGGCCAACCAAACATGGGAATGTGGGATTCCCATCCCATGGGAATCCCACAATCCTTGAATCAAACACCCCCTAATAAGTAGGTAGTTTTTAGTTGTTTACCGTTAAAGATTATATAAAAATGTAAATGATAAAAATATTATTATGATAATATTTATTGTTTTTTAATAAAGATATTTTTTAATTTTATAATTAAATTAATATTTGATAAATCGATAATACCAACCCAATTCAACTCTTATGTATATAGTACATATGTATTGATTTTAAAACATTTCCTCTTGTGCAGGGCGGATGTACATGGTTCCTTAGGAGAGCTATTGCACACCCATTATTTTTAAAAAAGTGTTAAATTTAGTTTAATTTGTTAATAGGAATAGAAAAAAATAAGAAAATTTACATACCTAAAATTTTTTAAAATAGGGTATTAAAATTTTGGACCCCTGTTTTTTAATTTCTAAATCCGTCACTGCTGCTGTGTGTATACAAATAATGTGGTAAGATCGGTTAACATAACGTAAAACTTATAAATTTATATTGTGAAAGTAGACGTTAAGTTATGTATATATTTTTTATCTTAATATTTTTCAATATTAGGTAGATTTTATAGACTTAAAATTATTTGTATAATTTATATTCGAGATTCATGTTTTTTTTAATTATATCATTTCTAAGATTTAGATTTAAATTTAAATCTTCTTTTAAATGTAATGCATCTCACTATTATATATACTATTTATTGATTAGATTGACACTTAATATATTACCTAGACTATGAACAGATCTCAGTGGTAACCATAAACTTGGACACGTAATCTGTGCACTATACAAATATGCCATGATTATAAATAATTAAAATGTGTATCTTTCCTAGGGTAAGGTTGGTTATGTCCATTCATAAAATTTTATTTTTTCATATTATTTTAGGATTTAACTTTTTAAATTTTATTTCGATAAAATAATTTTATTTTATAATTTTTAGACATTAGTTGGTAAAGTTTCCATGTTATTTTCATAAATATTTTTATTTTTTCAAGATAAAAATAATTAGTTAGTATTTTGAAATCTTAAATATAAAATATTTATTTTAAAATTATAAAATATTAAAATTCTATAAAACTTATATTAAAATTCAAACTAAATAACATATTAGAAATACATCTTAATATAGTAATTAAACTATTTATATTCCTCCAAATTAAATTAAGATTTATAAAGGCAAGAATCAAATAATTTCAATGGTTAAGAGATTGTTATTATCGCTTAAGATTTCGGATTCGAGCATCGCGTATGTCATAATATAAGTATTCATGCTCAAATTGTTGAGAGTCTTTAAACATATATTACTTTGTATTTATCATAAATTTATCCTTTTTATAATAAAAACAATTGAATGAAAATACGCCTGCAAATAGATCTCAAATACAATTGAATGAAATAAAAACAATCAAAGAAATTGAATTGCTCTTACATTTGGACAAGACATGGAGACATGGATTCCGGTTTGATAATTTTGGGGCTTAGAGATTGGAACAAAGGTTCTGATATAGCTGAAACTGGTGACGAAGAAGGCGATCGATTGGAGGAAGAGGAAGACGAAGTAGCTGTTCTTTCCGCGAGCCATATCGTAGCAGCCACATTAAGAAGAGGTATGCCCCGACACCAAGCTCAACCAAGTGAAGCCTGTAAATGTATGTTAAAATATATTCATTTTAGATTGTGACTCGATCAAGATTGTAATTGTTAATTGGTTGAGAGTAATTACTTGTCTGATTAGGACACGGGTTTTCTTCGGAGTTTTTGCAACTAGTCTAGTCTTGAGAGCATCTCCGAGTTTTTCGGACCCATTTGTTCACTCTTCCGACCTCCAGCAGACCGATAAAAGTCCCCTTCGTCCGATGTAGAGACGTGACCATCTCGAAAAGAATCCAGAACACCACCAGATGCAATGACCTACAACATCTTAGTAAACATGATCAATCAAGCTGATCACTCGGAGAATCTTACTCCGATTTATGTTTGAATATGCATTTGACAATTGACACAGGTCTTGAATACGTTAACGATCGAGGAAGTACCTCGGAGTTCCGACGGCATTGAGAATAGTGATGATGGAAGGAATGTACACAGCAGCCCACTTAGGAACATGGACTTCAGGAACGAACACAGTCGACGGTAAAACGACACAGTAGAAACTAAATGCGACAAGGTGAGCTTATTCAATACAGTAACTTTCTGCAATCAAAATGCAGCTTAATGAGTACAAAACAATCGATTTCGATCTCTTTTTCATTAACTCATAATCATTAAGTTAATCGGCTGAAAATGGAAGACCAATGCAGCATCAAGAAAAGTAATGGGTTAATGTATCAACATCATGTGTCTTTTTTTTTTTTTTTGACAAGTCTCTTTTTACATTTTTTTTAACTACGTGTATCTAATTTATTGATTAACTAATTCGGATCGAATAATGTAGAGATCCACTATGAGACGATCCTCCCAACCCAATGACCTCCATCCATAACATCAAGATTCGAACCAAGTAGTTTTTGGTCAAAGTATGTACTCTCACATGTTAAAATTGTAACAAAGAGTAAAATATTTATTCTCTTTCATTTCATATCAATAATTACACAAGGGTAAACTATTTATATACATACTGCTCAGCTAACCAACTAACAGAAATGCATGGATACAAAATAACTGAAATTTAACTGAATAACTACTAATCAACTCCAAACTTCTAACATCACATTTTCCATCTAGGTATCTAAAGTATTTTGGAATTACCATGTGTTAACTTTTAAATATATAAATAAAAAGAGGATATACTTTATATACCTATTTTAGTAAAAAGATACTTTAGATACCTAAATGAAAAATGTGATATATTTCATGTACCTAGTTTGAAAAAAAACCCTTAAAATATCTAAATGAAATTTAGATAACTTTTTTTCTAAAGAAGCCTACTTTAAAGGGTAAATTACAACACATCACCCAATTATTATTAAGATTACAAATGGGAGAATGAATGTCAAAACATTACAAATGGATCATTTTTTGGATAATTAATTTTTATTACCCAAGGAAGCAAAAACTGCTACATAAAACACCGATCTCAAGAATCAAATGTACATCCTAAAAACATAAGAAGATCAGTTTAAGCAATGTCCCAAGTGTTACAAAGGATAGTATTAATACTATCATATCTATTAATAGTTTTCCCCCTCAATTTAAAACCTACGTAATCTTTGATACAATTGAAGAGTTCTTCGGTTGTTCTTGATCTTGTTTGAAAAATTCTTCGATTGCGCTCTTCCCACAAAACATATATTTTTGCAGCCCAAGCAAGTTTAAGAATAGTTGTGAGGAGGGACCTTCCTTTCCAATTGTTGCTAGCCCAGTCAATCATGTCATCCCAAGAACTAAAATATTTCATGATTCCATTTTTGCATAAGATTTTCTCCCGTAAATGAGTGGCAGTGGGGCAATCAAAGAGAAGGTGGGAGTGTGTTTCAAGTGCTGCACTACAGAGAACACATGTTCCAAGAGTTGAAATTCCCATTCTTTATAGTCGGTCCCTAGTTGGGAGACGTTTGAGTAAAGCCATCCATGCTATCATACTGAGTTTAGGGATATGAAGAGGAAACCAAATCAAGGAATGCCAACGAACTTTGTCCCCATTAGTCCTAATTTCATGCCATATTTCCCTTATTGTGATAGTCCTATTCGATATTGCAAGTAAAGCTACAGCTCTTAGCTTGAGAAGTTTGATGAAACTCCAGCTGAAAATGGAGCGTTTTTCGATCTGCCAGAAATTATTTTCCTTTAGGACATATTTCTTGATCCATGCCACCCATAACGTTCCTTCTCCTGGAAGGATATTCTTGATGAGTTTTATCATGCATGCTTGATTCCATGTTTTTAAATTCTTCAGTCCCAGGCCTCCCTCGGATTTCAATGTGCAGATTTTTGCCCAGCTGATTCTCGCTCCTTTAGCAGCTGAATCGGATCCTTTCCAGAAGAAGCGAGAGCATAGCTGTTCGATCTTGTTGATAATAGCCTGGGGTAGGAGGAGTTGTCTGCACCAGTAGTTTGAAATGTTGAACATGCCAGATTTTATGAGCTCTAGTTTGCCAGCAAAACTCAATAATTTTCCAGACCACAGGTTTATCCTTGACTTAATGCTTTCTATAAGGTTATCACAATCTTTCACTGTAAGCTTTCTTGTAATAAGTGGAATTCCGAGGTATCTAATAGGCAAATATCCAAGATTGAAAGTGCTTGATAATCTCCACATTTCTATTCGAAACTCCAGCAGTGAAAAATACACATTTCGCTACATTAAGGTTCAAACCAGATATTTCATAGAATTTGTCAAGGACTGAAATAACACCTGCAATGGACTCCACATTACCTTTACAAAATATCACTAGATCATCAGCAAAGGATAAGTGTGTGAGCCCTATTTGCTTATATTTAGGATGATAACTATAAAGTCCTTTAACAACAACCAAATTAAGCAATCGGGTCAATACATTCACTGATAAAACAAATAGAATTGGTGAAAGGGGATCACCTTACCTGATACTTCTTTCTCCTTTGAAAAATCCTATCAGAGTCCCATTGAAAGAAATTGAGAATCTTGCCTCAGTGAAGCATGCTTCAATCCAGCCAATGAATAATTGAGGAAGGCCTAGAGATTTCAAGACAGTAGTAATGAAGTTCCAATGAAGAGTGTCAAATGCCTTTTGAATGTCAATTTTCATAGTGCATCGAGGGGATATGTTCTTCCTTCCGTAGCCTTTAACCACTTCCTGAGCTAGAAGTGTGTTGTCAACGATGCTTCTTCCCTTAATAAAAGTTGTTTGGTTGAGAGAAATCATTCCAGGGATGAGGCTATTCATTCTTTTAACTATAATCTTGGTGATAGTCTTATATATAACTGAGCAGCAAGATATTGGCCTAAAATCTTTGACTTTGCAAGGGTTAGGGGATTTGGGGATCAAGGCAAGAGTAGTTGTATTGAAAGCTGGCAGCAGAGATGAGTGATGGAAAAATATTTTATGGCAGCAATTACATCTTCTCCAACAATAGACCAAGAATGTTTGAAAAAATAAGGGGTGAATCCATCAGGACCAGGTGATTTTTCATTTCCCTGTCCAAAGGTTGCTTCTTTTATTTCTTCAGAAGTAACTTCTTTGACTAGAGAAGAGGTTGATTCTTGAGGAATTGAGTAATTCAGAATTTCCTTAAGAAAATTCTGGTCAATTTCTTTGATTCTAGGATCTAATTTCCCGATCAAGTTAGTAAAAAAATTTAGCACTTCAGCAGCCATAGAATCGAAAGATTCCAGTCTCGAACCCTGTTCATCAATAAGCAGTCTAATAGTGTCTTTTTTTGTTTTTGACAACTATAGCAGAATGGAAGAACTTAGAACACTTGTCACATTCCTTGATCCAATGTAATTTGGCTTTTTGCTTTAGGAATAGTAGCTCAGCTTCTTCAAGGGCAAGTAAGTCTTGTTGGATTTGCAATTCTTTATCAATAGTATCCTCTCCTTTTAAAGAGAGCAATTGTTGTTGTTCAAGATCAATTCTCTTTTGTTTAACCCGAGAGGAGATATTACTATAGGAGGACTTGTTTAAGGTTTTGAGGCTTGACTTGAGATGCTTGAGTTTGAGAAAAAGGATCTTCATGGGATTTCCATGGAATTCGGTCTGCCAGGATTGGTTAACTTCTCTTAGAAAGTTAGGGTGAAGAGTCCAGAAATTGAAGAATTTAAAAGGTTTTGGGCGGTTGGTTGGAATTTCTTTATCTAGCCAAGTGATAGCCATACAGTGATCTGAAACTCCCGAAGCTAGAAATTCAACAAAGGATTTATGAAAAGAATTAATCCAAATGGGGTTAACAAGGACCCTGTCGAGCTTCCTTGCAAGAAAAATAGCAGTTTGTTTGTTGCTCCAAGTGAACATTGGACCTATAAAAAGGGTGGTCTTGAAGATCCAATTCTTGAGTTACATCCTGAAAATATTTCATTTCAGATGTGGGAGAAGGGTAAAAAGCTCATAATCTGAGCTTTCATTAGGATGGAGAGTGATATTGAAGTCTCCTCTCAAGATCCAGGGGATGTGACCTATCTTACTATCCAATTCGTGCAACTGTTGCCAAAGCTGTCTTCTGTTGATGTCATCGTTGCTCCTATAAACTGCTGAGATGACAAAAGGATTTCCCATGAAACTTCCTTTAACAAATAAGATTTGATCAGAAACAACAATAGTAGTTAAATCCATATTTTTCTTCCAAAGAACCCATATTCTTCCGTTGCCAGCGAATTCGTAATTAACATTGACATTCCAGTTGGAAAGTTTACTGCAATGATGTCCCTGTATTTTTCATGTTTGACTCTAGTCTCTAATAAGCATAAAATGTCTACGTTATTTTGAGCGGCTCTTAGAAGAACTTTATTTTGTTTCAGAGGATTGTTAAATCCTCTAATGTTCCAGAAACATAAGATCATTGAGGAGGGATTACTGAGGATGAACCTTCACCCCCTACTGTAGAACTCTTGAGGTTATCCAGCTTACTCTTCTTTTTTTTGTTTGAGTTCTTTGACTATTTCACTAACACCCAATGAAGCCGTGCGGATCTTCCTTTGATGACCTTCAATGATAGAGAAATTCTCATCCATATAATTAAGCGCCTCGAACCTGATTTTTGACCCAGCTAAAGAGGCCTTGTCTTTTGTAGGCTTACCTCTTCCTTGTCGAGGAACTGATGAAAGGTTTGCTGGGTTAACTTCTTCGATTATAACAGAATTATCTGTTAGTTTAGACAGGATATCAACTTCTGGGTCTTTAGGTTCATTGATATCTTTAGAAAAAGGTTCTAGGATTTCTTCATTAACTTGTGGAACCTCAATTTGTGTTGGTTCAGAACTGGAATTGTCCTGCACAAGTTATGTAACTTCAACATTGGCATTTGATTTAGAGACGTCCTTTTTCACCCAAACTTGGGTTGAAGTTGGATTATGGTTGTGATTCGCCAAGTATCCCTTATATGTGTGACCGAAGACCTTGCATTTCTTACAACTGTGCGACATCCATGGTATCTCAACAAAAATAGTAGTAGAATGGCCATCTTGAAGGATAACTTCAATTTACTTTGGAATTTCATCATTAAAGCTGATTTCAACACATAACTTAGCGAATTCAAGTCTGGTTTTGGAAGCGGTAACTGAATCCACAGAGGAATTTTTGAAAAATCAAAATGTAATTGTTTTAAATTGGGTTCCCATTTTCTTAGGATAATTGGCTTGTTCAATATGTGCCAGGGTCCGTTTTCAAGGACCCAATCCCTAGCAGATTCTGATGTAAAAGAAAAAATGAAAAGGTTTGAACCAGTTTGACTGACCTGTAAGCGAGAACCTTGCAAACCCTTCCTCCATTGGTTTTCGATGATTCGTTGCACTGTCTGGAACTTTGGAAGCCGACCCAAGAATTGACCCACCAGTGAAAGTCTCCATTCTGAAATGCCAGCTTCAAGAATCTCTGATGGTAGGGAGATCGTTGGGGTTCTGTTTTTTATGGTCAGGGGATGGTAGGTTAGGGTTTGGCTATTGGAACCCCCGAACAAATTTCTCCAATCCATCAAGCAGGGAGGAACGATAGCAGGGAGAAAATAATTGCACAGTGACAGAAAGATTATCTTGATGATAAGGAACAGGTGCACGGAGAACCGCCGGAGACACGACGGACGGAAATCTCAAGATCCGTTAGACCTGCTAACGTGCGCCCATAGAGAACCAGTATCGTGCGCCAGAGAAAATAATAATATTGCAGGAGGAAAAAGGACGAGAAAATCCAAATGGATCATTTAATTAATTGATTGTCACAAATAGATTACCATGACGTTAAGTGTATGATAAGCGTTAATTTTTTTAATTATAATCAACTTGATTATGGCAATAGATAATTTAAGCAACACCATTATAACTAAAGTTTAATGTTTGTATCATTTTTAACAACAAAATAATTTATCTGTAACAATCGATTAATTTTAGTGACCCATTTATAGTGTTTTGGAAGTTTAGTGATATATTTATAATCATATTGCTAATTAAGTGACATCTGATGTAATGTATCCTAATTTAAAAGGAAAAAATTAAATATTTTGGCAGACAGCAGGACAACCGACACAAAGAGAGAGAAATTTAGTGTACAGCAAAAGTTACTGAATAAAGTTGAAGAAATTAAAGGCGTGGTAATGAATGTTACCAAATTCCCATCGTGCTTGAACAAGTGCGATCTCAGGGTTGTTGACAAGGAAAGGGATGGTTCACCATAGGAAGTCCGGTTCGGGCTGGAAATCAGCATCGAAAATGGCCACAAAATCGCACTGTTTCACCTAGCTACGCTTCATCCCTTCTTTCAAAGGATCCGCTTTGTATCCATTCCTGTTGTCCCTTGTCTCGTACTTTATGTTCATCCCTTTGCTTGTCCATCTTCGGCATTCTTGTTCCACCATGCTCTACGATCTGATTCGAACATCAAAATTCGAATAACCGCTGCTAATATTATGTATATATGCAACGTCACTCGAAGTACCTTGATGTATATGAGTTAAATTATAAAATAGAAATTAAATAACTTAAATTTTTTATTAATTAATAGATTGATTTTTAAATTTGAATCAAATTCATCAATTATGGTATGTGTATCACATATGAATAATATAAAGATATATAGTTATAAAAATTGTTTAAATTAGAATCAAAAGGTATCATAATATTATAGTATTTTGGAACGATTATAATTTTATAATATCAAATAAAAAAATCAAATAAAATTTGATTTCAAAAATAGAGACTTATCAACTCAAATAATTTGAAAAAAATTTACTCGACTTAATCAAACAATCACTCTTCGAAAAAACAATCTTAGGAACGAAGCAATCAAACTGGAGCCCAAAATTACAAAAGCCCAGCCAAGTAAAATGCCCCCTTTACCAATTTAATCCTTCGTTTGGTCTTAAATATCGAAAATGCCACTAAAACCACCACCCAAGAAAGCCTCATAAACCCTAGATGAATCTCCAAACCCGGCGGCTCTTTCCTTTCAATTGCAGAAACGACACTCTCAAAGGTTACATTTTCCATCACTTATTCAAAAGAAATTGTAAAATTAGAAACAATCTTTTTGTTAGATTTTGATGGCAAAAGGAGATGATTCAGTGAGAAGAAAGAAAAACAAAGTACAAAGAAAGAAGCTAAATAGGAAAAATGATTCTTCAACTGTCACGGCTCGAATTGCTTCCATTATCGCCGCCAAAAAGCGCCGAAAATCCGGTAAACGCAGCATGTGCCAGGTACTCGAATGACCCTTTTATTATACCTCATTGACTTTTAATGTTGGGTGTTTTTTTTCTGGGTAAAATTTGGTTCTTTTTTTTTTCTGTGAAGTGAAATGTGAAAAATTTGATTATCATATGCTATAGTATTGAATTTGTAGAGTTGAAGATAGGGGAACTGCTCATGAATGGTTTGCTTTCTTTCTTTAAGAATTTCTTTCTCCAATTTAATCTTATTATGTGGGAAATGTAGAAACATTATTGGTAGGGTTTATTATAAATTTTCTTAATAGCAGTCGGGGTTGAATTAGTAGTTTATCAGCATATCTGTTTTAGGACTGATGGGAAAGAACTAAATATTGATTTGTTTGTAATATAGAATGGGAATTTTGCATGACGAGCTTGAATCAGAAGTGATAGTAGGTTTGGGGATGGATTTTTTCATAAATTATAAGTGTTCAGGTGGATATGACTCATATGACTCAGAAAGGTTGTTGCGAATTTATTCTGTTTTCAATTGTTCTTTCTCTTTTAGTGATATGTAATTCTCTTGTTATCCTAATGATTTTAACTTGTTATTCAGGGGATGTGTTTTAGCCTTCCTACTCCTGATGATCCCTTCAACGATAGACTTGATAAGAAGGATGTCAGTAAAAGGGAAACCATCAAAACCATGCCTTCAAAATGGGATCTGAAAGTTTCAGCCAAGAGGGGGGACAATGTTCCAAGAAAGGGAGATGTTCTTGGGCATAATGTGAAAGTAGATAGTTTTGGAAAGATGATGGCTTTGAAGGATGGACTGAAAAAATCAGTTACATTAATTACAAATGTGGGGAACGAGACATATAGACACTGGAAGATTGGAGATTCAGCCAGATATAAAGAAGGTGGGTGTCCATAGTAATCGGAAACTAGCCTGTGAAAGTTCTGATTGTCCATCGAAGTATCTTATACTCTGCCTGGAAACAGTAGAGGTTTCATTGTATCCTGATGGTACCTGCAATGGAGAAGAGGGAAAGCGTCTGTTTGTAAACCCATGGGGTATTGAGTTCTGGAAATGTTATTATGCTGGAAAGGATATACTTGAGACAAGTGGACCACCTTCTGATTTTGAGCAAATTGCATGGATAGCTTCAACTGCTGCTGATAGTATTTCTAGGAGAGAGAAAGAAGGTCACTTATTCACTGGCCCTGCCCTTCTTTTCATTGTACCATCCAAAGAAAAAGCTCTCAAGGTTTGTATAATCCTCTCTATACCTTTCAATTATAAACTTATTTGTTTTTATATTTTATGGGTTTTTTTTCCTCCAGCAGTTTTTCCTCCATCATCTTTATCTGATATCTTTAGAAGCCTGACACAGTTCAGTAATTTAATATGATTGGCCTACTGTGATATGGGCTAATGCCAAGATATTCAATAGAAGGGACTTTGTGGCTACATTAATATTTCATCATCTGCTAAGATAAATGGAAATAAAACCAATTGAATGTAAACATATATATTCAAGTGTTACGAAGACACAAGCAAATTATCACATTTGAATAGAGGCTGTTTTGCTAATTTAATTGTTTATGCATTTGATGGGGTAAGCCTATTTTTTGTTAATTTGTTTATTTAATAATTTCTCATCAATCCTGCTCAGGTACGTTCACTCTGCAAGCCCCTGAAAGCTGTAGGCATACATACAGTGAGTTTACACCCAGGTGCTTCCATAAAACATCAGATCAGTGGGTAAATATAATCTAAATCTTTAAACCTTTTGCTGGAAAAGATTAATGTGGTCTTGTTTTACTCAGTTTCTGTGGTTTTCTTCTGTAGTCTGCTGAGTTCTGAACCTGAGTTTCTTGTGTCAACACCTGAGACTCTTGGAGCTAGTTTCCTTGAAGGCCATAGATATATCTGGGGTCTCCATGCTGGTAAACCTGTCTTTTTTATTTTAAAATTCTCTTGTTGGCTTGTTGCATATGATATTCTCTCTCATTACCATGCTCAGACTGTAATGTTATTTATGCAAACAAATATCTAAAAATGTTGGTCAATATTTGTGGTTATCAATTTGTCTTCTTAATCCCTTCTTTTTACTGAAATTTCTTATGTCATATTTTTTTCTTAGTTCCATTTGTGCAGGTATTGCTTGGTAGTTTGATTTTCAAATGTTGTTCTTGTGCATCAGGAGTAGTGCAATTCAAGCTTGTTTTTGAATCATACGTATAGGAAGTTTATATGTTATTTGATTTTTTTTCTATTTTGGAATGTTATCAAGTTTCATTCTGAAACATAACTTTTTGATCCATTCACTTCTACTTGTGTACCCATCCTTGTTACCTCTCTCCCTATACATATCTACATGTATGTTTGTTGGTATTTATGTTGCAATTAATAATCGTTTCTATCAACCTACTGTGACGGTCTTAACCATCAAATCACATTTCATTCAAGTTATTAAATTTTACTGTCTAATGACTAAATTCTTTAATAGGTTATTGATGGTATGGAGTCTACTTCTGGCGGTTGTTATCTTGATGCGGTAAAGTCCATCAAACAGGCTATTTCAGGAAAACCCCATACCACAGTATTCTTTAATGCCTTCTGTAATACTTCTGTTCCTGCTGTGCAAAATCTACTGAATGGATCAGTCTATAGATTATCACTCAATGGTTCTGTCGTCAGTCAAAGCGCTTGCATCATCCAGTCTATACATTTGTGCTCCTCAAAGGAAGAAAAGATAATTAAGGTGGGTTTTTCTTTAATGTGTTTGAACATTTGCATGCTGACTTTAATATATATTGTTGCTGAAAAATGAAAATAATTTATCCTTGAGTTTGCTTTATTTTAGAAAATGAAAACTGAAATTTATTTGGTCTCTAAACTTTAAACTAAAGCAATATGAATCAAGCAAATATTTTAGCGTGATAGAGGTTCCAACTGAGTTAAATTGGTTTGATTTTGAATGCAATTCACCGACCTCTGTTTTTCCCACATTGGCTGTCGGTAACTTTAGGATAAGACCAGTCAATATTTTACTGCGATTAGCTTTCTGTTTTTGGAAGGAAGATTTTAGAGATATGATTAGTTTTTTTTAATAGTTTAGAGATACGATTAAACTTCTTGATGTTGGGAGTCGTTCTGAAATATCTGATCCCATTGGTAATTGGTTATAGATGCTTTCCATTTTATCTCTGTTAATTCGTCACCTTGTTATCATCAGTTTGCTGTGCTTGATGTAATGGTTACTATTTACCATTATGCTTCCTCGGGTTTTCTACATGATATGCTTAATCGTTTTTCTATTTCATCTTCTTCTTTCCTTTTCTGGTCATTGGACAACGAGGAGTCCAAAAACCATGGCTTCAGTGAAGTGTGCTTTTTTGTGGCCTTGCTTTGAAGCCTAAGGCACACTAAAGCGTCAAAAGGTGAGAACCCCTTTAAACTCACCTCAGTTAAGTACCTCTGAAGTGCAATCCTCGTTTATCGCTGTGCCTTAATGCCTAGGCACGATCCTTGTGAAGAGTAGGGTAATTTGGATCATCATGGGACTTGGGGATGCCAAAAACACGTGGTTGCTATTTTTATCAAACAATGATAACAGATTTGTAGTTTCACTTGACATTGATCCGTATTTTGGATGTTAAGATTTTACTTTCAGTTTTCCATAACTTAGTATTCTGAAAAGCTTGTTAATAATGATATTTTACAGGGTATTCATGCTTTGGATAATGCATGTTGCAATCAAATAATACCACAACCTTTGAAGGTGCTGTACATAGTTGGAAAAAATAATAACGTTCAAAAGTTAGTGTCAGCTATCAAATTCAAGGGATATTCCATCTCAACCACCTCCTGCTCGAATATTATGGAATCTGAAAACAGGTAAATTCTGAATTATATGTTCCTTTTTGAACGACATAATGTCATGAAGATTCAACTTAAAAAATTTATGCATGTGGGTCTCAATCTAAAAGTCATGTTTGACTTTCTATATTTTTCCATGATACTTGTGCTTGATATTCAATGGATGTTATTGTTCTTTTCAAGGGGTTTGCCAACTATTTCTGGTGCTTGTATACATAACTGATATGCTGTTATTTCTTCCCCAGTCTTGATTGTGGCAACCAAATGAGACCTGCAGTCTCCATTATTGATACTGAACACATCAGTTCTGCAGATTTGGGAGAGTATGATGTTGTAATAGTTCCAGATTTTGTACCATCAGTTAATGATTATGTTCAAATTCTCACAAGGATGGCAAGGCACACAGTCAATGGTATGTTGCATAGCTTTTTAACTAAAGATGATGCACGGCATGCCGGTTCATTGATCAGAATCCTTGAACAATGTGGGCAGACAGTACCAGAAGAGCTAAGAAACTTGTGATTTTACCGATCACGTTAGCATATTCGAAAATTAAGTCTTGGTTCTTTCAAGACCCTCCAATCTCTTTGCAGGAAATGTTGTAAGGTGAACTGGTCATTCTTTTACATTTAGCGTGCACGTTTTGCGAAGAATTTGTAAAATTAGGATTGATGGGTCTGGACACGGACATGCCATGTTGAAGCTTCTTGAAGGAAAATTTTCCTGTGATAACGTGGCAACAGTTATTTTAACATATACTTTTGAATATTCTATGGTTGAGTTGACAATTAGTGGCGTTCTACCATACAACTACAATAGGCTATGTTTGATTTTTTTTACGTGATCAGAATGTAGTCTATGATGCATACACTCTGCTGCAGCGGTTTGAATTCGGGTTCTTTAACATTCCTTCTACAACTGACTATTTAACGTGTTCCGTGTGATGGAGATCTTGAATGTAGCCAAACTTTACAGCACTCCATTGTTTCTATCTATGATCCTCCTCTTCCCACTTTTAACTTGTGTTAAACTGGAAAAAAGGGAAAACTTGAATCTGCCTCCACCCTCACCGCTCTCTCTGAGACCTCTCGAGGAAATATGGTTCTCTTGCTTCTGCCGTCGGGGTATAATCTGACTTCACTAGTTTCATCAGTCGACACGGTTAGAGAGATTGTCAAAAACTATGACATCATTTTCTCAGACCGGCCAAAGATCACGGCATCGAATATCTTGCTTTACGGGTGCAGGGATCTGGTTTTTGCACCCTAAGGTGAGTAATGGAAACAAGTTCGGAAGATGAGTGTTGTTGAGCCCTTATGCCACAAAAGAGTCCTGCTTGTCTCAAGGGAGAGTCGATTAATCTGTCAGAGATGATCGTTATCAGCTGATTAAAATGTCTTTTTTTTTGGATAAATTTAGTGATTACATTATAATTTTTAAAAATCTGATGACAAAATAAAAAAAAGTTAAATGACTAAAATATGCGAAATTTACCCTAAAATATTATGCAATTGTATAACCTTTGAAAAGTTTATATCATTTTATCTAACAAAATAGAAAAACTGAAGTCTTTTGTGTTCTGATGCAGTTATTTTGCATTTAATTTTTTCTGTAAGCGCAGCAGTTGTGGGTTTTCCCGGTCATATCTCTGTATCATTTTTTTTTACTTTTCAATTTCTTGGTTGCTTATTTTCTCGATATTTGATTTCTTTGTTCGTTTGTGTATGATATTCCATTGGTTGTCAGTTTTATATTATTTTTGTTTTCGCTCATTTTAAATTGGTATTACATAATCATGTTTATCGTGCATTATTAAAATATTGGACAGCTTCATGTATCATATTATGTCTCCATTATAATTATATTAAAAAGATTGTATATTATTATAGAGGCCATAAAAGAGGCAAAGCAGTGAAGAAATTTCATCACCAAAATTGCAAATGGAGCTGTCTAAACTTTCCATCATCCCATTATTTCCATCTCTAATTCTCCTCGTCTCCCTTGTATTTTATTTCAAACTATCAAAAACCAGAATTCTTAACCTTCCTCTGTCACCCCAAAGCTCCAACATCCATCAACTCGGCAAACTCCCACATCGCTCTCTCCGAGACCTCTCAGAAAAGTACGGTCCCCTCGTGTTTCTGCAGTTGGGGTACAATCGAACTCTAGTAGTTTCATCAGTAGAAATGATCAGAGAAATTGTCAAAGACCATGACATCGTCTTCTCCAACAGACCAAGAACCACAGCCGTACATCACTTGTTTTATGAATAAAAAAGTTTTGGTTTTTCACCCTACGGTGAGTACCGGAGACAGGTGAGGAAGATGAGCGTCGTCGAGCTTTAGAACCCCCAGAGAGTTAAATCGTTCCAGTCTGTAAGAGACGAAGAAGTTGAAGCTCTTGTCCACAAAATCCGTCGTGCTTGTCTTAGAGGAGAGGCTGTTAATATGACGGAGATGCTCATGTCTGTTTTGATTAACATAGTCTCTCCATGTGTTTTTAGCAACAAGAGTGAAGATGGTTGCAGCAAGTATGGGCCGTTGGCAAAAAGTCTGACGACTACCTTCACCGGATTCTACGTCGGCGATTTTTTCCCTTGCCTGAGGTGGGTTGATGTGGTTACCGGACAAATTCCGCGCATGAAACAATTGTTTGCAGAATTCGATGAATTCCTTAATGGAGTAGCACGGGAGCATGGAGCTGGTGCCGATGAAAAAGATCTCTTTTATGTTATTATGCAACTCCGGAAGGATGGTACGTATGAGATGGACCTCACTCCGGACAACGTCAAAGCTACGTTACTGGTAATTCAACATGACAGTCAAAATTTACTCCTACGTTAGATTTTCAGATAAAATATCACATATTTGATAAAAATCGTTAATTAATTAATTGTCAATAAATGTTATGAACCAAATGCCAACCAAAGCCAAATCAGCATTACCAAGTCATCAACAAATTGCTAGTGAAAATACACGTCAAAAAAGGTATTCCAAGGCTTTGTTGGTTAGTCATAGTTGAAATCTGTTATCCTCTCTCCTCTCTAATTCTCTCTAGTGTTCTCTCTATTTTTTGTATCCTATATCCCTTTTATCTTCTTAGTTACTGTAATTCTCTTGTTCTTCAATGAAAATACAGCTTTAGCATTTTCAATTCATATCAGTGTGTTCTTCAGTTCATAACACAATACATAATTTTAACATAGCACATGTCATGTATTAATTGTAATGATATGACATATATCACGTGTTGATAATAATAACATGACACATATTATATGTTGACATGATATATATTATGTATTGAAAATGATGATAAGTCACGTATCTCGTGTCAAAAAATGATTGTATGACATATTATATATCAAAAGTGATGACATAAAAAATGTCACGCATTAAAAAATGATTTATGATACATGTCACATATTGAAACGATAATATAATATATATTGTGTCAAAAATGATGAAATGTCAATGTCGCATGTCGGTGACATGATAGTTTCACATTAGCGACAAATGTTAATTTTTGGTCATCTAACAGTTTTATCCAACCAAAAATCATTTTATCTTAAAATGAAACATAAACACCAAAATAATTATACAGTCAAACTTTTGTGGCCATTTTTTTCATATTATACATTGTTTCACTTTGTTTATTTTCATCCACACCTTCTTCACATTGATCTAAGTGTTTAATTTGAATGATCTCAGGACATATTTGTTGGAGGAAATGATACCAGTGCAACAACAACAAAGTGGGTAATGGCTGAGCTTTTAAACAACGCAAGTTCCATGAAAAAGGTCCAAGAAGAAGTAAGAAACGTAGTGGGAGACAAACCCAAAATAGACATGGAGGACATCAACAAAATGGAATACTTAAAATGTGTAATCAAAGAAGCTTTGAGACTACATCAGCCTGATGTTTTTGTTATTCGAAGAACATCAGCAAGTGTCAAACTGGGAGGCTACGACGTTCCATCAGATACCACGATCTGGATCAATGCATGGGCCATTAACAGAGATCCCAAATGGTGGGAAAAACCAGATGAGTTCATCCCGGAGAGGTTCCAGAAGAATTCCATTGATTTTCAAGGTCAGGATTTTCACTACATCCCGTTTGGTTTCGGACGATGGGGATGTCCCGGGATGTCGTTTGCAGTTACGTTGGTTGAATATGTGATTGCGAATCTTTTGTATTGGTTTGATTGGAAGTTGCCTGCAAGTGAACACTTGGACATGACTGAACTTTACGGCATTACAGTCGCCAAGAAAATCCCTCTTCATGTCCTACCTATATCTCGTTCATCTTACTAGGTGAATCACACGTACCGAATTACCTTTAAAAATCTTGTGTTCTAATTTGATATCATATTAAGTTGTAAGAGAAATGATAAATATATGCAAATTGATTAGCTTTTTATTAATGTAGATTAGTATGCAGTTAATTTTCTAAGGAAATATTAATCCTTCACTCGTGTTTAACAAGATCATATAATAAAAAATGAGAAAAAGACACTCGAGGTCCCTAAACTTTTTTTTTTAAAAACCAATGTGACTCTCATCCTATTTTTTTGATCAATGTGGCCCTCCAACTCGAAAAAATACCTCAAGTGGCTCTTTGACCAACATTTTCTGTCATTGATTAATTCCTGATGTTATAATTGGGTAAATTACACCATTCATCACTAGACTATTTTCTTCTCTTCTATTTTGGTTAATAAACTCCAAAAGTTTTCAATTTTAGAAACTTTAGAGACTTCAGGGACTAGGGATGTAGTTAACCCATTTTATTTTAAGGGTAAACTACACAAATGATCACTTTTGTTTCAAGGATAAAGTACTAATCATCGGTCTTTTTGTAAACCTAAAATATCATTTTATTTCAATTTCAGAAACTTTAGACCTTCAGGGACTAGGTTTGTAGTTAATCTGTTTTATTTTAAGGGTAAACTACACAAATGATCACTTTTGTTTTAGGAATAAAGTACTAATCATCGGTCTTTTTGTAGTTAACCCATTTTATTTTAAGGGTAAACTACACAAATGATCACTTTTGCTTAAGGGATAAAATACTAATCATCAGTCTTTTAGAAAACCCAAAATATCATTTTATTTCAATTTCAAAAACTTTAGAGACTTTAGGGACTAGGGTTGTAGTTAACCTATTTTATTTTAAGGGTAAACTACATAAATGATCACTTTTGTTTTAGGGATAAAGTACTAATCATCGGTCTTTTTGTAGTTAACCTATTTTATTTTAAGGGTAAACTACACAAATGATTACTTTTGTTTCAAGGATAAAGTACTAATCATCGGTCTTTTTGTAAACCCAAATTATCATTTTATTTCAATTTTAGAAACTTTAGAGACTTCAGAGACTAAGGATGTAGTTAATCTATTTTATTTTAAGGGTAAACTATACAAATGATCACTTTTATTTTAGGGATAAAGTACTAATCATCGGTTTTTTTGTAGTTAACCCATTTTATTTTAAGGGTAAACTACACAAATGATCACTCTTGTTTTAGGGATAAAATATCAATTTACCCCTTTCTTCGCCTATGTTTTCTTCCGCAAACCCATCTTCTCCGCACCCATCTTCTCCACCGCACCGCTTCACCTGCTTCAACTCCAAACATGCTCAGTCTAGCAAGGCCTTACAATACTTTAGTGAATTTCACAATTGAAGGCTTCGAGCACTTCTCAACCATCTTATTGAAGAAAAACAAAGCATCATCAACATTATCAAAATGATCATGCTTTTTTTGGGTTTTCCTTTATAGGCACTGAATTCTTGTTTAAAGCTTTAATGTGGGAAGCAGTGGTGTTAAAAGAAGAGAAGAAAATATTAGATTCCTTCCACCATTAGCAATAGAACGAAGGATTAATGGAGAATAAAACTTAGAAAGAGAGGATGGGGTTCTCTCTTTCGAAATAAGTGTACTATAAATTTAGATTATGGGTTAAGAAAAAGAGAGCAAAATTTATATGATGAAATTAGTATAGTAAAATATACTGCCGCAAGACTAAGCGGCTTTGGCTTATCCCTATCAGAAGAAGCGTCTCCGGTGAGAGCTAAATGTTTGGCGAGATCATAATTAAAGGGAGAAACCACAAGGGCATAATTCTCTTGCAAGCAAACTGTAAATGGTAAAACAAAACAACTAAGTCATCTCCCACATTTAGTCATCATTTCCCAACACAATCCATCAGCGAAGAAATCCCATTTCCACCATCACCAACAGAAGTCATCTCCATCTGCGCCTTGGCTAAAAACCAGAAAAAGAAGCCATTTTTGGTGGGATGTAAAAGCTCAACCTTTCTCTAAATGTGGAAAAGTGGAGATGAATACGAGATGGTGGGATAAAAAATGGATTTTGGTCGAAGAAACGGTGAAAGGACAAAAAGGATTGAAAAAAACCTTTAGTGACCAAAATAGAATAGAGTAGTAAGTGAATGATAAATGATGTAATTTACTTCATTCGTAACATCATTAAACCGAATGTTGAATTGCTTGACGTGTCACGTCAGTAATAACTAATAGAATCGTTCGTCAATGACGGAAAACGTTGGTCAATGACGAAAAACGTTAGTTAAATGATCATATTGATTTCTTTTTTCGAATTAGAGGATCATAAAATAAAATGATGGTCATATTGATTTTTTTCAAGTTTAGGGACCTTAAATACTTTTTATCTAAAAAAATTAATCAATTAATTAAAAAATACAAATAAACTCGTCAGTGAAATTATTTATTGTCAAAATCAACGTAATAATAAAAGCTTAATATCAAAATCAGTGTCCATACTATACCTAAATTTTTGAATAGGTGTCTAAACTATTTTTGACCCATCTAGGTGTCTAAACTATTTTTGACCCATCTAGGTGTTTAATGTTACAACGGTTATCCATTTAAGTGTCCGAATCGTCAATGACGTTAATTTTTCCTGTTAAATGTCACGTGCCACAATCTGGTGATTTTAAAAAGTTTATTCAAAATGGCTCCTATCTATAGATTTAGAATAAACAACAAAGAAATTGGTTCGTGAAAAAGATCACATTATCAAGGAGAATAATCTTTTCCAAAATTATATCCCATATGTAAAATTATTTTAAGGTTGTAACGACTATTATTTCAAAAAATAAAAAGAAAAAAATATTGTAATGACTATTTTATAATAATTTTATAAAAGTTAATAATCATTTTCAATTTTCAAAATTTTGAATTTCAAAAGTTTAATGATGAAAACAATCATTTGAATATAATTCAGTGACTTATAGTGTATTTCACCCTACTTCTAATTATAGTATAGTCAAAATCTATCGGTTGGACTTGTTAAATGTTGCCACCGGATTTCTTTCTCCCAACACAAGGATTTGTGAAGTGGTTTGCAATCTCCGACAATTTCCACTAATCCGCCGCTTAAAATTATGACATAAATAACATGTACGATGATTGTGTGTTAAATCATTGTCCAGTTCTGTCATTCCTAAGAAGCCATTGATTCTCTCTGAAAATGAATTCAAGTAACTTGTTTCTCGAAGAGCCCATGCGAATGGCTTCCATTCTTGAGCCATCAAACCCTGTAAGTTCCTGTTTTTAAATTCTTTTTTGTTTATACTGTTTATCGTTCTTCTGATTTTCTTGGTGAGGAGAAATCAAAATAAGAAATAAGTAAAAACAAGAGAATTATAATATTATATGTATGATCTGAGAATTTGTTTGATCTTGGCATAATAAACAATCAAGATCATTGTTTGTTTGATCTGAGACTTTGAACAGTTTTACTTCTAATTAGTTAAAGGAACTTATGTATATATGTGTGCATGTATGTACGTACGTGTGTAGGGATGGACGTAGAACTTTATGCTAGGGTTGAACTTATAAATTTTAGGGGCTAAAACAGATTAAAAGATATAAAGAAAATGCGAATTATATGAGAATTGGAATTTTTCAAGGCACTAACTCCTCTCGGTCCATCCATGTATGTATGTGTGTGTGTATTTTCTTTAATCTTTCGAAGTTTTTGGATCATATTACTATTTTTTTTTGAATGTGGATTGCAGAGTTTCTTTCCTGCAATGACAAAAATTGTGGGGACACTCGGTCCAAACTCGCGATCTGTTGAAATAATATCTAGTTGTCTTAAGGCTGGAATGTCTGGTATTACATTTTTTTCTTTTGGCTTTTGAATATTAATTTTGCATGATCATAGTCATGAGAGTGCAATTTTTTGTCTAATTTTGGCACGAAACCTGAGTCCTTTTGGCTTTTGAATATTAATTTTGCATGATCATGGTCATGTTCAATCTACTTTTCTATGTTGGTAAATTTGACAATGCATTGTTATTGTTTACGTGCTTCAGCAATAGATTAGAATCTCATATGCTTCTGAGATGATTGTGCTTTGTTTTCTTCAGTGGCGAGGTTCGATTTTTCGTGGGGTGATACTGAATTTCATCAAGAAACATTAGAAAATCTGATGGCTGCTGTTAAGATTACTAAGAAGCTTTGTGCTGTAAGCCTCCTTCGTACTTTCTTTAGAACCGGCCTTTTATTTTCCTTCTGTCATTTTACTTCATTGAAGTCCTTTGTATGTTCACATTTCACACTACGGTTCATCCTAGCCTAGACGAATTTGTTTGTTTTTGTTTTTCCTTGTGATTTCAGATTATGCTCGATAGAGGTCCAGAATTGCAAGTAGTTAATAAATCAGAGCACCCGATTACCCTCGAGGCAGATACAAAAGTAATCCTCACCCCGAATCAAGATAAAGAAGCTACTTCAAATCTGCTACCAATAAATTTTCATTGGCTATATAAGGTCAGAAACTTTTAGTGAGAGTGTAAAATGGGTAAAAAAGCATATGTATCAACTCTTTTGTGTCCCATGGAATTTTATGTCTCCATGTACTCGGTAATTCTTGTCCATATAGGTTGTATGTTAATGAAAGGGGATTTTCTTGTCCATCATCCATTTCTTGTCGTACTTGTTAACTGAATTTCTTTATCCATTGTGGATATGACCTTTTCGTTTTAGACTAGTAGTGCACCAGAAAGGAATTCGTTATCTCTCATATACTTTACCTTGTCGTCTGGTTTCTCTAGCTCCCCTCTCTTTCTCCATTCGAACTACAATAGTTGACTCTTTCCATTTGGTACTTGCAGGCAGTTAAGAAGGGAGATACTATATTTATCGGCCAATACCTGTTTACCGGAAATGAAACTACGTCAGTGTGATTAGAGGTAAGGGAAAAGGTTGCATCCCTTGCTAATGAAAAATATATTGCATAGGGGATGAGAAGTTAAAAAGC